GTATATAGTATATAGTATATAGTATAGTATATATATATATATATATATATATATATATATGTATATATACATATATATATATATGTATATATATGTATGTAATATTCATAGACATAATGCGAAAAGCTGATGTAACTGTACATATAAGGTATGTTTTTCTATTATGATAGCTCTCTAACATGTGTACACTTGCGTACGTCCAACAACGGAACTGTAAAGCAAAATACACCTTTTGAATCGTTCCATTTACAGACGATTACTCTACTTCTTTTTAACTTAATATGCATGTACATACCTATACACTAGGAAGTATCAAAAGGATACTGAATAGTCAATGCATAAATTATATATATTGGTGTATCAGATCCTTGTCTTGATTTCGGACAGCGCAATATGTGAAAAATTAGTAGAAGATGCGCAAGTAGACACACTTACTGTTCCAACTGTGGCGACAATCATTCCAAACATGGATGTCAGCAAGGCTAATCTACGTCCAAATTTGTCACCCATCCAGCCGAATACGAGCGAACCAAACGGCCGCGCTATAAAAGTCACCGTATGTCCAACCCACACTCCAGTACTGGAGTTTGGGAAAAAATTGGCAGAGATCTCGGGTGCTAGGTAACCATATACACTAAACTCGTACCATTCCAAAACGTTCCCCATGAACACGTACCAAGAGTGCTTCGATGCCATCAAGGACTCTTTTTGATAGTTTGATAAACCCATGGTTTCTGTCGCCCTTGTTAGTGAATGACACAGATACCAGCAACGCACTATCATACAAAATTTCAAATCCTGGCTATTTTTAATATAATATATATATATATATAAATATTAAAAAGCTCAGTTCTTCATTATTTTATCTAGAAATAGTAAATACCACACATCCTACAAATAAATACAACAACAGTCAATTGTAATATACAATGTTATGTGACTCATGTGCGTGTAAACAAGTCACAACTCACGACTCACAACTACACTCAGTCCACACGACTGCAAACTCAAAGCCGCGATGAGCACAACAGCTCAAAAGTCAAAAGTATGTAGAATTCTAATTGACGGCTGACGGCATGTGATGTGTAGCTACTCATAATGGGGTGAAGTGTGAAGTTTCTACTTTCTGGACCAATCATTTCACTATGTACCTTTCTATTTCTAAATTCTAAATTGTACAAGAGAGAAGGCTATGACTCATACTCACTCTCACTGTATGTACTATTTTTTGTGTTGTATATTTACCAAAAATAAAGTAAAATGCAAAAATAATGTTCTTCAACTTCTTAATCTTTAGTGTAATTGATACGCTATTAGCCAATCAAAACATACGTCATAATAACATTTAGCCCAAAGACTCCAAAGTCCAAACCCGCTCGGAGATAAAAAGGCTCCTCTGCAGAAATGGGTTGATAATTGTATTTACGTAAACTATTGACATATCGAAGATAAAAAAAGGTAAATATTACTGCATATTTACATAGTAATACAAACTGTATGGTGCACTATATATACATATATTTTTTGTTTCGAGAAAAATATCTACGAAATGAAATTACATACATATTTATCACCGAAAGCGTAGCTGTAGAGTCCCTATTTCTTTTATTGCTGTCCGCAATGCTTTTCCCCATTTGGAGGCACCCAAGAGGCCTCCAAGGTATCCTAAATGTAATTTTGTTTCAAAAAATAAGCATACTTTTGTAGGTCCGTCCCGTGTGTGACTGAACAATGTGTGTGTGTTGAGTGAAAGTGAAGGAGAAAGGGTGTTCGGAAAAACGCTTTTGGTTTCCGCGGCGTCCTAGCCCTGTTTTATGTCCTACGGACGTTAGTCCGTTCAGCCATATTTTCTTTCTTCTCTCTACTCTCTACAGAGAGAGAGGGTCACGTATAAATACCATATTTATGTTTTTGTACATGTACATACTCGGTCATAAATAACCTGTTTCATTTAGAAGAAGGCAACGACCCGGACAACTCGGTAGAGAGAAAACGGTGTCTATACAAAATCGGACTCTTACAACCTATATTATGTATTTTAGAAAAATATAAAACCAGACCGGCAGACCCTGTTGGCCACTTGGCCAGTGCCCTGTGGTCCCTGCCCATGGTGAGTTGTGAGTCACTTGTGACTGGCCTGCCTTTTCAACAAAAAATCACGTCACGAATATGTGATTTTTGATAATCCAATCAAATCATATAACAATTTTGGTGATCCGTAACCAGTAAATATCAATGAAGGTAATTAGTACTTACTTACATACAGTATAATTCTAAAAATACAAGAGTTGTCATTATGATGGTAAATACATAGTTTGTAAAAGAAAATGTATTTATTAGGAGAGGCCGAGATCGGGCGAGAGGCGTATTAAAAGAACGAAGAAAAAAATCATGGATACCTAAATCATAGCCTTCTAATGAAACACCTAAATTCAACACATGTGGACTGATTTAATCTGATACAAATGTACATATATTAGATGAAAAAAATACAAACATACTTTATGTACACAAATGTATGTACGTACTTTAGCTGTCTTATGTACGTGCTATAACTGTCTATGTCTTGACATTTTTTTATACATGTTTTCATATTTTCATGCCTGTATGTTTTTACACGCTTTTCACGACTTCATGAACTTCCTGTCTATTCTATAACCACCATTGCTATGACTTATAGAAGTCGTTAGCAGCTTGAAATATTACGAATCGACCAACCCAACCGGGTACGGATTGATCACACGCACACACACACACACACATATATATATATATATATATATATAAATATACATATAAATATACAAATACATATACATATATATATATACATAAATATATATATACAGATACACATACAGATACATATACATATACATACACATATATAGATAGACAG